TTTTTAAATCAGTCCTCCTCTTTTTTTTTCAAGGATTACTGGCTGTTGGAGGTGGGCAGGTAATGAATTTAAGCTGACTCTTCCATGTTACCTATGCATGTCACATCCACCGAGTTGCCGTGCCACGGACACTTCACTGTAAGAACTGCATCAATGCATCATAGCACAGTCTCCGTCCCCAAATCCACCTCTGTCCTGTTTAACCAGTGAGAAATGCTAGCTTCTCTTTGGAGGGAAACCCAACAATCAGACTTGATAGGAAAAATAATATGGAAGGCATTCTCTTCCTGCTGACATTTTGGCCTCCCCTCCATCTGTACTCCATTCAAATAGACTGCTTTTATCACCAAGCTGCTTGGAGACACAACACTGTTGTGACTAAACAAGAAATATTGGCTGCTTCACTACAGCATGACTTCACATCCCATCCAGCCAAGTGTGGAATCCAGCCTATTCAAGATCAACTTTTCTGAGGACTCAAATCTCAAGATCAGACAGCCCAGTTTCAGAAACTATTTCAAGCTTCTCTAGGAACCCCAACGTAGCATCACTTCTGTGGCTGATTGAGGGTGGCCACATTAATGGGTCTCCTGAAATCATTATGATGTAGTAAAAAAAAATGTCACGTCTGGAGGAATATACTGGAGTTCACTCAAGGGCACAGGACATCTCTAATACTTATTCAGCTTAAATTCTGAGGATATCAGCAAGGGAAACACTAACATTTGTTCGTGAAGATTTAGCTTGGAAGCTCTTTTGCATTTGGATTGGCAATTAGGGGCACTCTGGGGTCACCAACAGAAGATTTGTAGCTCAGGGTTGAACTACTATGGGGTCCTTGGTGCTCTCTGAGCTTGGTGGGCAAATAGAGCTCATAAAAAGTGACTCCTGGCAGGACGGGAGGGAGGGAAGGAGGTGAGGAAGGGAGGGGAGGGAGGGAAGGAGGGAGGGAAGGAGGGAGGAAAGAGAGGGAGGGGAGGAAGAGAGGGAAGGAGAAAGGGAGGGAAGGAGGGAAGGTAGGAGGGAAGGAAAGAAGAAAAGAAGGAAGGAAGGAAGGAAGGAAGGAAGGAAGGAAGGAAGGAAGGAAGGAAGGAAGGAAGGAAGGA